CAATAAAAACTGAATCGCCCGGCCCGGATCCAGCATCTCGTGGAATTACTCGCGAACTCTTAAATTTGATTGTTTAGTTTTCTCAACGCACTCCTGTCTATAGGTTCCTGCGAATAGTAATACAAAATCTGAGATATTTTTGCATTCAGGAAATAAATGTTGCGCACGCCAAGTCACGGATTTGCGAGCAATTCGAAGCACTACTGTTGAAAACTTGTGTGACTTCCAATTATTAAATGTATCACGTTCATAATATAAGCAAAGACCTGGTACCATTAACTTGAAATCTTAAAATCCAGTAAACCTGTCTGAGACTGAGACTTGATAACTCAAATGTCATTGTTCGATTGATTACCAATTCACTAAAAAGGAAATCCAAAAAAAGGAGAAACAACATTTTCGAAGGAAGATCGCCGATGTAACGTCCGGGAAAAGAGATTCGGCGAACAGATCGGCACGGAGTTTCGCGGCGCAAAACCGGAAGCTGACTCGAGCGGAACGTAGCTGCTTTCGTCCGGCAACCGGAAGCCGCTCGGCTTGTACCTTTACCGTGTTTTGCACTTAGCGATTTACCCGGCCGTGCTTTTAGTACCCGCTGAGAGAGCAGCCTTGTAGAGGATACCAGCCGTTTTCCCATCGATTTCTGGTAATTCCCGACTTGCACCCGTTACACCGCTGATGTTGTTACCGTCGACTCGTACGATGCATGGTTACCGATGGCTTCCTGCTGCCTATAAAATAAAGGCCCACATACACGATGAAACATGCGACGATGCAGGCGTCGCTGCAACCGATGGGTTTGAGTCTTTTTCATGTTTTTGCTTGAGTGCAACGTGCATCGTGAAACCTTGGAAGATTCAAACCCATCACTTGTATCGATGGGTTTGCGCCGCATGGGTATAAAAACTCTCATACGCGTCGGCACAGGCTACAAGCAATGGATTTGAAATCTTTTCATGTTTTTGTTCGGGCGCAACGTGTATCGTGAAATGTGGAAGGACTCTAACCCATCACTTGTAAATGTAGTAATGCTTGTTTCAAGGTGGGGGCTTTAAAGCGACGCAACTACGCGGCACGATGGCGGCTCTTATTTTAGTAATGGCCCGTGCAAGCTGCGTTTACCATCGTTCGATCGCGGAGATTTCTCTGAGTAAATTACGCGGTGATCATCCACTGTACGCTTCCGCGCGAATTAATGGAAGTCATCCAGAATGGTTAACCAGTGATCTGCCTTTTGATTCGGTATGCACGGGCTGATGATGTTGATGAGATTACTGATCACTCAAAACTAACGGTGATCGTCGAGTTGGAAATGCTTACGGGTTTCCCGGAATGTTGGTATATTTGATTGGAATATTTAAATTGCGAGGTATTTTATTGTAATATTTCTTTTCTGTTGTAGGAGTTAGAGTAAATATTAATACATCGAAGAGATAGGAGTTTTAACTTTCGGTACTAGATAGTTCAGTGTTGACTGATGTTTTGTCTAGAAAAAGAATAAAATTGAAAATATTTATAATTTGGTACATGATATGTTATAACAAGAATAATTCGAACCCAGCTATTCGAGAGTTTTTTATTCAGTTTTCCGAAAGTTCCATTTTTCAAAATTTCAATTCATGGAAAGTTTAATCTTCCGAAAGTTTAATCTTACAAAATTGATAATTCCACAGTTTTAGGAGACGACCGAGAATATCGACTCTATTAACTTCAATCGCGAAGTCACATGTATACCAATCACAACTTCACGTCTACCTCAATAAAACATAGACACCGCGATCCTCTATGAACTCACGCCACAATAAAAACATCCCCTGGTTAATCCTGTACTCCATCTCCGGTAGAATATCGTTGAACACCTTTATCTTTAGCCTTTATCTTTATTTTTCATTTTTATTTCGCGCATATCCGAGATCGTTCCGTGTTCTTCCGGTTTCCAGCCCTCGGCCAAAGCTCCAAAGGGAAGATGGAATTAATGGGACACGCAACGACGAGATGGACCAAGATAAACGCTTCGCCGTCAAGGGTTTACGAGCGAGGGAAACCAAACCCGGGGATGCGACCGAAATGCCTCGTTTGTCACTTGTCCGTTTTTCTTCGTGGCCACATTCCTCTACACGTTTATCTTTATTCTTCTCCCTCATTTTTTTCATCCCCTTCTAGTAGCAGAAATTTGCAATTAGTAATTGACAGAAGTCAATTAACCTATTGCCCAACAAAACAGTGTCAAACTCGCCACGGAAATTTCAAACAGAATCGAGCAAATATCAATATCAATATCCATTTAATTTTACAACAGATAATTGAGAATAATTTCTAATAAAATAATAAATACTGTTCTTACAATTATACCAACGTAACAATTTATCGAACAGAAAGCAATGAGAAGATCTCTTTTAAAACTTTTAATCTAAGATTTCAATCATATCTGAGACATCGCTCTAAGTGATTCTAGACATTGTTTAGGTTTTCAAATTTTCTCACATTTTTCAACTGTTTTGATTTCAAATGAAACATTATTTCTCAAAGCTACCGAGTGTAATGCTTCGGAGCAAACTTTGCCACGAAATTAGCAGATAATTTTTGTCATTTTCTAGTGAACTATAAATTAGAAACAAAAAACTAGTTTCGCCCAACACAATTGCGAAAGTAATCATAGAACAAGGGGCTACAGTTTAATAGGATTTATCCTGGAATCAACATGTTTCGATTTAGATTCGCTCTCCAGTTTCATTCCAATTTTATGTGCGTCTCGAACGCCGGACAATAAAGTCATATTTAATATACATGAGCTGGTTTACCGAGAAAAAGGAGGCTGACCTCGTACTGGAGTCCTGCCTCTTTTTCTTTGAATCGCGCGAACCTATCGATTTCCGTCGATAATAACGCCCGTTGTCGCGTTTGAAACAAGAGAACCCATCGAACAATCGATGGAAAACGAAGCGCACGCTTGATTACGAATGTAACCGCCCATTGTAACACAATTTTCATCTCATTCCGCTTTCCTGTGAGACCTTCATTCGATCAATTTGCTACCTTTGGAAATGATAATTAGGCTGGGAATCAAAACGACAAGCGGAAAGGGCCTTCGCTCTATTCAAAAGGAGACAAATTACCACGACTTCACACAAATCGATGTTGAATAATGTTCAGCGATTGATGAAGTCTCGTAGAAAACACTGTAAGTGGCAAAACTGACAAATTTTCTTTCTCTATTTTTCCTATAGCAAGAAGACGTTATTAAATAACGGGAAACGTTATTGAACGTAGACAACATTTTTGTAAGATTCTCTTATTTGATTTGATACGTAAACATAACTTGCTGCTAATATCAATTTCATTTATTAAACTAGTGAAATACTAATTAAAATCGGACCTCAATTCATCGCTACCGAGACAATCGCAATGCAAACTGTAACAATAGATTTTGTTCGATTTCTTCAGATGTTCATTGTATTCGAGTGAAACTATTTATTTTTTAAAACCATTTCGAACAGTTAACACTAGAATTATTGAAACCAGTTAAAACGACTAGTTTTAAGTTCCCTATTTCGCAATTGTTGATCTCTTAAGAGTATCAACACTAGAACAGCCGAGTTCAGTGCGATTAACCCCCTGTCTTATAATATCCAATCAAATGAAATATTATTCTTTCGTTATTAATTGTTATACTTCAGAGCAAACCTAAATATATAATGTACCTAGAATTTTCCTCTTCCTCCAATAAATTATCAATCACGCAATGGTCGTATCGATCGTAGTTGAAGATAATATCATAAGCCAAAGGGTTAATATCTAATCCTCACAGAAATTGTGATAATAGACTCATTTCGGTAATCTTTGCTTATAATTGCGAATAATTTTTAAAACCTTGTAACTTTATATGTTACAATGTTAGATAACTGTTTTGCTCCTGGAGAATTTGATGTTGCCACTTGCAGACTTCAAGTTCTCTTATAAAGAGAATGTGATTCAAGAATAGAAAGCTACGTGTTCTTTCTTCAAGAAGTTCGAACTTCGATCCATCGAGTTGGAGGTTCACCCTTTCCCTTCTCTTTTGTTGGCTTCGCCATTCTGTTACACACTTGATCCTTGATTCTTTGATCGCCTATGGAACTTCGTAGTTCCATGCCCATAGCGTTAACACGCGATACAGCAGACAACCTCAAAGGATGTCATGGCGAACCCATTGATCAACTGACATGCGTAGAACCGAATTCGATGGGTAACGCTACTACCTTTGCGCGGCTGACAAAGCGCCTGCTCTCTTTATCTTTCGGCGAACAATCGAAATCCTGTGAATTCATTTGGACGCTTTGATTCAAAGCGACCGAATGATCCTCTAGAGAAGGTGGGCGAGCTTCCATGATCGTTTCAACGGATGTCGGGGAGAGGATTTTATTTTTGTCGAAGGTCTCCACGTGACGATTCATTTTTTTGCCTGTGCTCCTTGCGACCCAGGAATTCTAAAATGTTGTTTTCAGGGCTTTCGCCTGAAATTTCAGATTTTTTGGGAAAATTTAAAAAGCTGAATCGGGAGTTCATAGAAATTCAGTGAGATTTGTTAATGTTGTGTAGAAGCACGTAACGGTTTTTCGTTGAACTGAGGGGGATCTAGGAAATGTATGCAATGTGACGAATTTAAAAAATATGTGTGATACAGAGGGTTTATGAAATATTTAATTTGAGAGATGTAACAATAATGTAATAATTGATAATATGTAGTTGATTTGAACGCTTGAATATTTAGAAATTCAGAAATTCAGAAATTTAGACATTTAGAAATCTAGAAATCTAGAAATCTAGAAATCTAGAAATCTAGAAATCTAGAAATCTAGAAATCCAAAAATCTAAAAATCTAGAGATTTAGATTTTAGTTTTTTTGAGAATGTAAGTCTATAAATTCATACCTAACCATCTATAAACTATAATTCCCACGAACAGAAGTCAATACAAAATTATCTATTAAAGACGAAGTCGCAATTTTTTCTTTATTTCAGCGGACATCTTCGACGAAACCTGCAAGCAACTGGAACCATATCCCTCCTTGAAACCGAAATGCTTGGGCGGCGGAAGAATCGAGCACGATCCCGACGCAAGGACCATCAAAGTCTACGGATATTCCCAGGTGAATTGCAGAGCTAATTCCTCGCGATGAGCCGCGTTAACTTCATTGATTATCCATCAGCCCATCGCGACACCGTCCCAGGCTCATCGCGAAGTGCTCGACACTTGAAATCCTCGAGAGCTTACAGTTTACACTTTGAATCCCGAGTAATTCGACGATAACCTTGCTCTTTCAATCTATATACAGTTATTCACAAAAGTACTCTACTTACTGTATAATCCATTTTATTGTGTATTTAAGAAATGTTGAGATTGCAGTTACCTTATTTTATCAACATACAACGGATACACAGTATTTTATGTTTCCTGTGATGTTATTCTATTATGTATGGTCCATTCAGATCCATTACTTTCGACTGGATATTGTGGACAGATCACCGAATAAAGTTATATTTTATTTGGTAAATATTTACGTCGGTTTTGATCGATGTAATTACACAAATATATATTCTAACTGCCCCCTTTTAAACCTCTAATTTCCGAGATCTAATTACTACATGCATCAAAACGATGGATTCATGATTTCGTTTTCTACAAGTATTGAAAAATATTTAAGTTATTAAAGAAACTGATTCACTAATGCGCACACTGAGTTACAAATGCTTCGAAATTTCGATGAGTTTCTACAAGAGAATTAAATAAAGTCAATTCGACTGCTCGGTAAAAGTAATTTTAAGTTTCTTTGTGAATTTTAGTATAAATTGTAGTACTATTTGCCGGAAGATTTAGTTCGACGAAGTGTTCGTTGCTCAACACAAAGGTGGTAAACATTATTTCAGAAGGTTTGGAATGATTAATTTCATCCGGTGGCCCTTAAACTTACCGCTTATTCCGCTAATTAAACTTCGAACAACTATGGATGCCGAAAAATTCGCTACGACAAGCCGAGATGTTGAGATAAAATATTGATTCCGTGGTCGAGTCGAACGCGAAAGTCGGGTCGGATCGAAATTAGATGAGAATTTCGGGGCGGAGGTGGATGAAATTGGATTTTGCGAGAAATCTTGTTTGCGGGGAAAACTTGGCGAGAGTCTGCGCGATTTCGAGCGATTAGCATAGGGGATTGATTCAATTAATCCTCGCCGCTCGTGCGAGCGCGAGGTTGTCACTTGAACCGGAAATATTCATGATTCCGAGAGATGCACGATTATCAAAGACGACTAAAGCGTTGAAAAATATAGCTGGAGCCCCTTCGATGGACTGTTTAAGGGCTTGTAAAATGTAGAATGAACCATCCCCGAGAGAAAGCAATTTCAACGCCGCCTCGGGACTGGTTTTTTCTTACCACGGATTGAGAACGAGTTGGCAATTGATTCACTGACATCCTTTGCACGGACGGGAACGCGGTTTTTGCGCTCCTTCCAATTGAAGCGTTTGTAATTAACGGTAAAATTACCGGATAGATGAAAGTGAGCCATTCGAAAACTTTCGTTTCACTGTTATCGAAATTATAAGGATGTTTTTCTGAGAAGTTGCAAAGTAATTTCGTGAAGTGTATAGACAGTGAAGAAGAAGTTATGAATAAATTATTCTAAATAGATAGCGGGTTTTTATGCAAATTCAGATTTTTAAGAACGTAATTGGAGAAGTAAAATTACGACGCAAAATAGTTTTTCCCCAAAATATTGTAAAATGCATTTTCTCGTATTGCATGTATTCTGTGTAATATTTTTCGAGTTTTCCATAAAGATCTGCAATCTGATTGCAAATGGTTGGGTATTCTAGGGTTAATGAAGATAACAGTTTTTTTTAAATAATCATTGTATTTTGTTTTATTGGTTTTCAGGGCTTTGGAAAAGCAGACCATGAGGTGTCCGGCGGACTGTTGAAGGAGAAGTATCCTGATTACACAATTACTTGTTCAGACGAGGGCTACTAAGGGAGATAAAGGAGAAAAAAGTCTCTAATTATAAAAAATAACACGCAACAATAATACTTTTAACAATATCTGAATAAAGCCAACTATTTATAACGATACACTGCGGTTGCGTTACCATGTAATTTAATCTGATCCTGACATTTACCGATATTCCGATTATTCATGACACCAGCCGATTATCAATACAAATTACTGGACCAATCATTCACATTTCGATCAACGTAAATTCGCTGACGCCCTAAACATCGACCAATAATTAAATCGCGTAATTGGAATTGATTTCATCGGACAAGCTTAATTATTAATTAGTTGTAATTCGAAGAGTACTTCCAGTGCCATCTAACGTAGAATACTGGAAACTGATAACTGAAATAAGTCTCGTCTGTTAAAAGGGGTGTCGGAAACATCTATATCGACAGTGGTTAATCACCGACGAGAGATAGGATAGACTAGATCATCGACGAAAGATAGAATAGACTGGATCACCGACGAGAGATAGACTAGACTGAACATCCGATGTAAATTTTTGCCAGACACCGGTTAGGTTATGCAACCCCTTTACCAATGCGGCGTCATTTACCATCTTTCCAACACAGTATAAATAAGTACAAATAAATCAATTAACAACGTGTTCTTTTTTATTTCATTGTCTCAATATTAAATTTTCCGATCTCCTTAATTTTATTAAATGATCATTTCCAGTTTAACAACAACAATTAAGCTCGGTAAAGCTTCAAAATGAAAAATGATTCGACCCTTTGATATAGATAAATAATAATATAGCAATACAGTAGCAGAAAAATATATTAAATATTTATTGTTCAATATTAAACATTATACAACTATTTTACTTCAATTCACCTAACTTTCGAGTTAACCCACTGCCCCATAACCACATGATCGACTCTTGAAAATTATAAACAAAATTCAACAAGTATAAATATTACCTGATTCTCTTGAATTCAAATTAAATATTATTATTTTATCATCAATAATTATACTTCAAAGCAAACATAGACATAGAGCATGTCTAGAATACTTCTCTTTTTTTCAATCAATTAACGGCAAAGTAGTTGTATCGATCACAGTTGAGAAATAAATTATAGGGCAAGAGGTTCAGAAAGTTCGCAATTTCCAGCAAACGTTTATTCGCACTGCGCACAAAAAGAACAGCGTTCCTTGCGAAAAAAACAGCTAAAGGGAAGGAAATAAAGGGTTGCCGTTGTTCCGGCCAAGTTCGTTTCCCAGTTTTCTTCTCCGGCGCCTCTTCATAGGTTTTTTTTCTTCTTTTGCCCAGCGAATTTCGCGGTTCCAGAGTCAGCGTTCGCCGCGTGGCGAACTTTCCGGCGTGTTTCCCTTTTTATCAAGCCGCGCCGGAACTCGTTATTATTTTATTCCTGTTTCAGCTATTGTTCGGGGTTAGCGATGCAGATTCGCGGAAATTGCCGCGCCAACGGAAGCGAGAAGCATTAAAACGGACCATTTACGGTTTTACTCGAAGCTGTTCCCGTCACGTGATCACGGGAATAAAAACCATAACTTTCATCGATGGAAGGATCGTATTCGGTTTACAGTCGGAGATGAAATAACTGGAAATTGTTTGGCGAATGGAAACCTTTCGAATTTCCAGGCAATACAGATTCGTGGGAATTGTGTGATAGAATAGAAACGATAAGGATTATAAATCGTCTGGAAATCTATGAAACCAATGGGGTTCTAAAATGCAGTAATCCGAATCACGTTCAAGGCAATAATATTTCATATTTCGAGAATAATTAATTATATTCTATTTCTCGTGTTTATTTTATAATTACTTAACACTAGGTAACCGCGACCGTTCAAATGACGGGTTTCAGTTTTCTCATTTAATGACTACCGATATCTTAAAGGTATTAAACATCCGTTTCGCTGCGATGCTATAATGAATACTCAAACAAACCGGAAAAAAATCTATCGTTTCAATGTTCATACGGATCACATACTAATCATGTTAAATCCTCGGTTGCTCTAGCATTAACCTTCCACTCATACACTATTTGCCAAAACGATTCTTACGCGTAATGCTCCAGCAACGAATCCACTTTCTTATCTCGTTAAATATCTCCGTTCGGTACACAATAAATATTCACATCCATTCACTTGACAAGACAAGAAGAACAAAGAGAAGAATAATAGACACGTACAATTGGATATACGTTTTATTGGTCCAGCTGTTCAACTACATAGAACTATTTATAAAACTTTACAAAATGCTCAACGTTTCATAAATCGGGGATGAGGGGGGGAGTTACCTTGTATACGTATTTACAAGGCGAAGAAAATGATCGTAAATGTTTACAAGAAGCTTTGTTCACGAATCGGTATGTATATATCGTTATATATACATGTATATATATAATATATATATAATTGTATACATATCAGAGATTTCTCGAAATACATCTAACAGAGATTCTCGGGAGCAGGTTGTGGGATGGGGAGAGGGGAGAGGGGAGAGGGAGTGTCGATGTTGAAATGACTTTCCGTTTCGAAGTCTATTTGTGATTGTGCAAATACGTCCTGTAAAGCTCAGCCTCCGTTTCTCCTACGAAAAGTTTAATACGATTCTATAGAACAGTTCGAAGTCAACAGTCTTGGCTCAGCGACGCTTCCGCCGGAAGTTTCAATCTTCGCTCGCCGTGTTTTCAAAATGTCGCTTTACCTTCGCCCGTCGTTCACATCTTTTTAAGCATACATCTTTTGTTCATTGATAATCAAATAGATCGTGATTCATCAAGTCTTAGGCGGTTCCAATGGAAATTCTGTAATGCGAAACGAAGGAAGGATCGAACGGTTTTAATATTTTATGTGTCGTTTGTTGAAGTTTCCGAGGGGACTTCTCTTTTAATTTTGCTCTGGAAATTATTGAATTTGTGCGGGGATTCGCAGTTTACATGGAAATTGAGAGTTCAGTGTTTTTCGATGAGAATGCATTCGAGCGTTGTGTTCGGTGGATGCCGTTTTTGTAGAAACCTCGATTTTTTTGCGATCTCCTTGCTTTGGAAACCCTTTTATTGGCACCATTGCTAGTAATCACGGAATTATTAAAAAAAAAAATTACGGTTAAAATTTCAAACTTCAAATTTCAAATTTCAATTTGATTAGACATTGAATTTTTTAATTGAGATTTAAAGATGGTTTTTAAGTCTAAATTTGAAAGATGGATTAATATTTCTCTTCGAAATCGATGCATAGTTCCTATTTAATTCGATTCATTTTTTTAATATTAGAATTCGACAATATTAAAATTCGAATTGCAAAGTAAAACAATGGTATTTAACCTTTCGACTCACAAATAATACACGCTTTTCATATAAGAATATGAAACACCACGATTTTCCATTACCTTCCTGCTGCTTCTGACGGAAACTCCCAAAGAACAATTATCAAAGTGTGAAGGACTAACCCCGTTAACGAGCAAGCATTGTTGGTTCTTGGGTCGCCTGTTCGCACACTCGGGTTTACACTGAAATATGTGACTCTTGGTGTATGTATATTCGTTTCTGTGTCTGTATGTGTATGTGTGTTTGTGTTTGAAACATTATTATATGCGGTGTCCTATAAAAATTGGCAGTATACAAACAATTCACCACAGAGAGGAATGAAGAATTCGAAACGAATCGCGTTCGTTCGCCTCCGTTTCCGTCGAGCGGAACTTCCGCTTCTGGGAATCTACGATTTACACGATTAAACGATTACAGAAGTGCTTCGAGTAACTTTCGAAGTGTTTTAAACGGCTGCGAGGTAAACGAACATCCTGTAACTTTGAATTCTTGTGCTTTTCTAGTTTCAATGGCTTCCAATAGTTCAATAGCTCCAAGGCGCGTAGAAATAAAGTTACCGGACATTCATCGTTCAAAGAGCGCCCCTCGCCGCCATTTTGGTTTCACGAGCGAGCAAATGAATCCTCCGAACATTCATCTTAGAAATCAGATCTACATCGAGAATGGGATATAAAAGGGAATTTGTCGAAACGTGAGTTTAGACAGCGAATTTTTATACAAAATAAACATTTCTTAAAGTGTCTTAAATAAATATTGAATAATTATATAATTATGTGTATATATAGTAATTAAATAGAGAGATAACTTGTAGGAATCGAAAGAAATTGGAGTTTAGAGTCGGTACTTTGCATAAATTGACTTCGTATCTTAAGAATTTTGATAAAATTCTGAAATTCCTGTGCCCATTTCTCTGATGCATATTCTATGCACTATTTACATAAATGCATAAAATTCGCTGTCCAAGGGTTGTACATTTCAAAGGAGGTTCTGGAAGTTTCAACTTCGGACTGTTTCCATGCATTCTTAATGCGAATCATTACGAAGCAATTAACAGGACGATGTCCGGGTAAGTTCGAACAATGTAGCATTGATTTAACCTCTTAACTGGGAACGTCGTTGAAATTCAGTTTCGTTTGTCGATAGTACTTCGTTTTCGTGCTCATACGATAGGGGATTTTTCTGTTTCATGGAATTGTAATGTCCGGTACAAACCGTGCAATATGGAAGTGTATCATTGGGTCGTATGTGGATATTATTTAATTGCACACAATGTGGAGGATTGTTAACATCACGATATTAGCATGATGACATTAAACAGAGAATTTGTTGTAGCATACAACGTTAAAATAAAGTTCCGATAAAAACGAAAGTTAATCATTGGAAAATAATTAATTATCTAATAATTAATATTATATTATCTAAATATAAATATTATCTAATAATTAATTCAATTTAACTAATTCTAATGAAGTATTGAGCATGAGTAATACCAAATGATAGATTTATTTAATTTTACTGTAGTACTAGATATTCATAAAAATATTCATAAATATAATATTCATAAATAAAAATATTCAAAAATATTCGTAAATATTTATAAAAATTACGACAGACGAGTGGTATATTTCAAATTACAGTACTATTTACTTGATGTGTCTAGTTAACCTCTTAGGTACGACGCGCCACTATAGACTATCATTCAGACTATCCGAAAAACATTTTCCGTCGTATTGTAAGTCCGAAACATCTAAAGCAACGTTACGAAATTGTATCGTATGTTCAAAGAACGATATAAGACGAAGATCGCGCTACGAGTGTGAAGATTGTGATGTAGGTTTATATGTTACATACCCAATTGTATTATTAATTATTAAAGTTAATTGTTAAAGTTAAATTATGTGTATCATATCTTTAAGAAAAATTATAATTTAATCATCAAAAACTTTATTCCAATGTACTCGCGTGGAGAACAGCACACATGGTAGTGCTGTATCGTTTACACGTAATTCGTGTTGAACTCTGCCGTACAGAGAAACAGCCTCGCGCAAAATTCAGCCGTGCCTGAGAGGTTAATACCAAATGTTATGTACACAAACTTAAATTTTATTTTCATTTATCAAACAAGTTCAACAAATACTTGTTTCCAATAAATACTTCATTCCTTATGCACATAGAACCAAGTGTTTACTTCCAAAATACTTAGTGAAAACTTGTAATTTATTGTTCATGCATACGACCCATTGTACAGCATTCGCTACATTAACACTAAAACTACCGAGCATTTCATTCATCAATACGTAATCCTTATAAAAATTGTAACAATAGATTTCTTCCGATATCTTCATATATTCATTATAGTATTGAAGTGAAATTATTTATTTTACAAATCATTGCAAATGTTTATCACTTTCGAGATATCAATACCTGCGAAATAAGAAAATTGAAACCCGCCATCTTGACGGGTGCGGTAGTTTCAGTGTTAATTCAATTCGTCTCGAATTTCGATCACGTTTGGCGAATACACAGTTGAAAGGTTGAGCGACAGTGAATAGCAGAGGTGTCTGTAGAAACGACTAAAAAAGCGGATCTTGTTCGCAAAGTTTCATAAGTTCACAGTCTCGCTAGATCCTTTCGTCCTTAACAGGAATCCTTTTCTTCGAGAATCGATCGGGAGGCTTCGTACGCCGCGACGCAGCGGTTCGCAATAAAATCTATCATGTAAAAACGATCTTCGGTGACAATCAAATGATCCTCGCGCGGTTAATAGTCGTGTAAACCTAGAACATTTAATATTCAGGTACTAATCATTTACCGTTTTGATGAGTGTGTTACCGTATCAAAGTCTTCGGTTGATGCTTTCTCTCTTTTTACTTGCTAATAGGAATAGAGTGTAACGTTTAATTGGTGCTGTGTGTTCGTGAGAAGATCTTGTTCTTTTTTTTGAGAGTTCGTTCGATTTTTCAATATTTTGCAGTGAAAAAATCGTGAAAATCAAAATGGTCGATTTAGTTGGAAAACAATTGTACAGAAGACGTGCCACTTTGAAAATTCAGGTTAACGTGGAAATCAAGATGGCGGATCCAGAAATGAAAAGAAGTTCGGGAAAATAGACAATTCATGTTATCGTGAAAATCAAGATGGTGGATCCAGTGTCCATGGAATATTTTTCTATTCCCTTGTTTCAATGAACAAAGTTATTATATCAAGAAATAATAATTACTACAATTAACTACACTTAATCGCATAAGTGTAATTAAACCAATTGCCAAAACTAACGAATTAATTATCATTAATTGTAACCTTATAATTAATAATAAATGCTCAACACCAATCAAAGGTTAATACCGACCCAAGTGTCCAGTCGATCCTTAGACGATAATTCGAATTGCAAGTACTATCAGAATCCTGGTGAACCTTTAATCAGCTAAGGGTAGAATACTTGTTGCTGCAGGGTGTACAATTTTTCTCCGAAGCTTCTGGAGTCTATACCTCATTTTTTTCTGTTTTTCTTTTTTGGAATTCGAAACGACGATTGTCCCTCTAGCAGGGACAACAATTGAGCTTCCAGATATAAATACATACGAGATACAGAAAAAATTCGTCGACTAGATAAGATCGTTTCGACCGTGTGTGCTCGGTCACTTAACACTAGAACTATCTAGCAGTCAAATTGACCTCTGAACATTTTTCCATAGAAATTTCAAACATTTATTGAGATTTCTATTGATTTATAATTCAGTTTCCGTTCTGCTAAATCAGTTTCTTTAGTAATTTCTCAGAGAATGATTTGTTTTACCTTTCCAATAATTGCAAGAAGAAGAAACCAGGAATTGGTCATTTTCACCTGTGTGGTAGTTCTAGTGTCAATGTTTGATCTCCATTTCTTTTGTTCGCTCGCACTCTTTGATTCTCTTCCCGGTATAATATGCGTAATTGTTCCTAAGTTGTACTTACTTTCGAGGTTCTCTACTGCACCTTAGACGTAAACGAACTTTCGACTAGCGACTCGTGTTGGCAATCTCCGGAGACCAGCTCCGTTCATTTTTTCATTTTTCTTTTTTGTTTCGATATATCATTCTCACTCTAGAAACTTAACTTTTCCCACGCCGTCGATCTATACCTTCACTTTTCTTTCGCGTTCTCATTAGTGTCCTAAGGTGTTACTTTATTTCGTGAACACGCACGGGAGGGAAGTATCGATCCATGACCTACGATTCACAATTGAACCATAAAGATTTCTGTCAATTTTCATCGTTATAGGTTGATTTCGTAAGACTGATGATTTGTAAAGTGAAACATCCATATTTTCGCTAAAGGGAAGTTTTAAACAAAGTGTCTTACTATATTATTACTTTCCAATTATCGAAGTATAAAATCTGTAATTTATTAAGAATGAAATAATACAAAAGAATAATTAATCTTGTATCGAAGAAAATAAAATGAAAATTTTGGTTGATAGTTTAAAGAAGGTGAACATACAGGGAATCTGGAAAGATTGAAGTTAAAAGGTTTCAGTTTATATTGATGTAATGGAGCTGATTGGATAAATTGATTAGTAGAGAATTAATTGTAACAGTTCATGGAGAATAGATCGATATTTCCCTCGCAGTAATATTGTACCTAAGAAACTATTAACACGGATAAGTATTTCCCTAACTTACTCTGATAATTTAATTGTAGATAAACTATATAAATTCCGTTTACGTACACACTAATACCATCGCCTCCGCCATCGATTGGCGAAGTTCATTAATCCTCTTAACGATACTTCAACAGTCTGAGATTCATTTCCCTAAAGTATATCCCATTCTGCGTTTTGATTTATGCGAGTCGTTCTGCCTATCATCGACAGCTTTTATTAACAATATCGCCCCTTCCGAACACTGTATTATTATTAACTTACATAACACATCTACGTTTGATATCTGTTCCGGCATCGTTCAGGCTCCAGTCAATTAACGAGTTTTATCCAATTAAGTCTCTATATTACATATAGTAAAATAGTAAAAAAGGGAAATAGTAAAAATGTGAATGGTAAAAATGCTTGATTATAAAGTAATAAGAAAGTTAAAATATAAAACAATAGAAGAAAAATATATAAAACAATAAATCTATTATAGAAGAATAATAAGGAAATTAAATCACAAAATAACAAAAAAGCTCAATCATAGAATAGTAATGGAGTTGAATTAGAAAATCATAAAAAAGTTAAATTACAAAACAGAAACATCTAAGATCACAACAAAGCACTTTCAATCTTCAAGATAACTATTATCAATATTCATTCCAACTAAACTCAATCAGTTAACAATTAACCCGATCTCGAAACCCAATTTCCTATTAAACCCATCAACGAAAATTCCAAGAATTCCATGACAAACAAAACATTAACAATCAACCGAATCTCAAAGTCCAATTTCATTTTGTACACCCATCCGATTCAGAAACTTCAAAAAATTGATCCCTGTTTAACCTCCTTCGAGACAGATATCTTTCTAAAGGAAAACAAAAGAGGTAGCTACGTTTCTGATACGTCGGATGGTGAATTTATTCAAAATAATACGATAAAATAAATTTAAAATATCAACGATAAATTGTTTTAACGGAAACAGAAACAAAAGGAAAGACAAAAATCGAAAAACTGATTAATTGCGCAATATAAGAATTGATATGAGAAATAAGCTACAGACTTTTAAATCAAATTCAACACTAAACTTACAAGACGGGTCAAAAATGATCCATTCCTGATTGCTTCATTTTGCAACTATTATAAAAACAATAGGTGTTCTTCTAGAAAATAATTATACAAATTGATTTAGCAATACGTTAATTGAATTATAAATCAATTAAAGTCTCAATAGATGCGCTCTTGAAGTTTCTATAGAAGAATTTCAATTTAACTGCTCGGTAGTTTTAGTGTTAAAATTTTCAATCGCGGCTGAGATATTCATCGTCGGCGAGGCTCGCGAGCAAACAGCAGCAGCAGGCCACCTCGAAACGCGAAATTTACCGGCGGCCGAACGCAATCACCGTGGTTTGACCGAGCGGTAATCTTATACGAGGCTCGATGGTGTTGACACGCGTCACCTGGCCAGGCCTGCCCCGGGATCCCGGTCCAATCGAATTTCCGATGACGCGCGATTTCGGTGTCAGCCATCCACGCGGAGTATCCTGAATGCCGTGTCTCGCGATAATAGCTGCCGCCGTATTGTCCACGGATATTGCGCGCGCCGAGGATCCGATCGCGGCGAATTTTGGAATAACGATCAGAACCGATCTCCGAAAGAACCGTGGCAATCGATCTATAAACGCTTCACAATATAATAGAATAACGTTAATATAATAGATAATCGTGTAGGTAATTACAGGATAGATGGCCCCGTTTTGTTTAGATTGTTAAGTGTCTGTATTTTCAATCGCTTTTTAGAGGTATACTGAACCTTGCACAGATTTTTATTTAATTGTTCTTTTTATATGTATTTATTTTCATGAATGTGGTTCCTTTTTGTAAGGTATTAACACCAGGTTTACGGAACGCGTCAATTTGACAAGCATTGAATTTCATGAACATTATTTAATTAATGTTTAAGACAATTCTGATTGATTCCAATAACGCAAATGTGTATTTTAATTGTTTATCTTTAAACTAATTTCCGTAATCTAAATGAATAAACATGATTATGACGTTTTTTTAAAAAAAGTGGGCCATCTTTCCCTGACTTACTATAAATATAATAATATAAATATGATGAAGCTTCGATTATCCGATTTAACCTTTTTCCCAATAATATTGTGTCAGATTCGCGATGAGAATTTTAAATTGAATTCGCATGCTTCGTTTGTTTATGTCTATTTTTGACACTAGAACTACCGAACAAATAAAGTGACAGGGTGGTAATTTTATTGATTGGTAATGTTGTTAATTGTAATGTAATTATTTCTTGGATAAATTGAAGAATTAAAATTAAAGTGAATTATATTTGTCGAGTTCTGAGGTACCTTCCATTGCTGTATCCGTGAAAATACAAAAGTTGATTTTAGATTTCAGATTTTAATGAAGCGTCTCAACGCACAATTTTAATAATTATAAAATAGTAATCTTCAAAGGGTAGTCTGGAAGTGCTAGTGTTAATGAAAACCCGCGGATACTCTTTTGGCCCTCGACAACACTTCCGCCGTTCCCCATTGTGAATGTCGCGCGCCTTTTCATATATTAAACCCGCCGCGGATCGTTACTCGTTTATAACTTCGATGAACGTGGAAAACAATGAAATATAGGTTGACGGAATGCAATAAACTTCTTTTGTTTTTCGGTGATTTTAATGAGACCGAACCGAACAAAGTCTCGCCCGATTCTGGCTTAATTAAAAACACAATTGAATCGAACCTCGGTTCTCGCGTTAAAAATTTTCATAAGCTAATTTAAACAAACACATTGTTCCTGAACAATGTATATTTTACTAATTGCACAGGAAAATTGTAATCAGATAGAACAATTAACTAGAAGCCTATTTCCCATATCCTAATTTCCACCTCAAATATAAAGTAATTCAAATATCACATAATCAAATACTCCAAATTACTAATATTTCCACAATTTAATAAAAATACACTAACCAAACAGTCACTTCTTGTACCACAAATCCTATTCCCATCTATTATAAACTCCCAAAATCCTCATTATATCAAACCCAAACCCAATGCCCAAAATCTAACCTCGTCCTCCATCATCCATGTCCCCTAAAATTCCTAAGGACCCTCAGATCCAACTGAGCCTCAAGCTCGATCTCCATCAAAGAGCTTCCTGCTCGAAATTCAAAAACAGATTCCTCCAGTACGAGTATATAAGATTTTAAACGCTGGTGGTAATCTGCTCGATCACGGTGACGTCACGATGGCGCCTTGGTCTGCTCCTGTACGAGTCGTGATGGCTTAAACCCTCAGGAACGCTTTTGCTGGGTCTGAGGGGACCGTAGAACTGCGGCTGGTAGTAGTGTTCGGCAGTGTGCATCCTGTCGATGTCCCTCTCGCGCAGGTTGTCGTCGATGTCCAGTGGCACGTGGAGGGACTGGGACTTGGGCAGCCTGGGCCTTGGCGGCGGCGGGCAAGTGCGAGGTGGCGGGACAGCTGTAGTGGAGATGTGCGGGTCCGGTAGCACTGTCGGTGATGCTGGCTGCTGGCCGGATCCGACCAGGAAGAGCAATGCTGCACCGCACAAGGAACTTAACGTGCACGCGTAGTAACCCACCCTTGGTATGTACGCGTTCATGTAACCTGGAAGATTGAGAGTAGTGTTGTAAAACGCTGGGGTCATCAAAGCTACAATAATCAAGTTAAAGACTGAGTCTTGAAAGCTAGAGTTCTATAGAGCTCTAGTCTTCGAAGCTTCCAAGGTCAAACTTAAAGACAAAATCTTTCAAACTTTAAAATGCAATCTTAGAGACTAAGTCTTGAAAGCTTAAAGTTCTGTAAAGCTCGAACCTTCGAAACTACAAAGCTAACTCTTAAAGGTTGAGTCTTTGAAGCTTCAGGATTCAAGTTAACAACTGAGCCTTAAAAGCTTAAAGTTCTATAAAGCTCGAGTCTTCGAAGCTTCCAAGTTCAAACTTAAAGACAAAGTCTTTGAAACTTCAAAATGCAATCTTAAAGGCTAAGTCTTGAAAGCTTAGAGTTCTTCGAGCTTAAAGACTCGAGCGTTGAAGACTTCAGTTTTTGAAGCTCAACGTTCGCCCTTGTTTACATTGCTTAATGAGTATTGTCTACCACAGAAGTTACAAATAATTTTCTTACATCAACTATCGTCAGCGTTGGGAAATCTTTCGTTGGTATGAAGTATTCAGTTAATGTCAAAACTTGCTGAGAGTATGATGGAAAAGGGAAAGCTTTCTGAAAGCGTAAGTACCGAAATATGTTTCTCTCGACTTCTTGACTGTAAACGACGAGTCTCTGGAACCGTTCGTTTTTCATTAGCACTTCGTTTTTTATTACATACGCCTCGTTTCTTTGCGAATAAACTGGTTATCACTAGAACTACCGTATCCGTCAAAATGATGGATTCTAGTTTTCTTATTCTGCAATTATTGATATTTTAAAAGTATTGGATATCCAAAATGACTTTGAAAATAAATAGTTTCACTTGAATACTATAACGAGTATCTGAAGAAATACAGAAAATTGTATGGTTATAACATTTATAAGGATTACATATCAATCTTAATATCCGGTAGCTCTACTGTTAAGATATTACATACTTCCGCAGTAATCAAACGAAAATGAATTACCGGTTAGAGGAACTCCGAGAAGAATAGGTAGAGCCTCCGCGGCCTGCACGAGAGCCCAGGCCCGTGCGAAGTGTCTCGCCCTCAGTCTTTCGAGGGCCAGCATTTTCAGAGAGTAAAGGGCGCCACCGAGGGAAGCACCGTAGAGACCGGACACTAGGAAAAGCCCGTGGTAACCCTGCACACTACCCAACGCCACCTGTGCTATTGCTTTAATCAAAAGGAATATTTATATAACACAGTTGAAATGATCTTGCGAATCCTTTAACAACAATATTCACAAATGTATTCCATTAAATAATAGTCAACAATATTGATCAATGTCAAAGTATTCGTCAATGTTTTTTAATACTATAATCATCAATATCAATATAATTAATAGTATTTCAATTAATAATAATACACTGACACCAATTTGTATAATCAAATGAATTCGTTAACCATCTAAATTTCTTATAAAAATAAGAAGTTTTCTCGAAAGGTTATTCTATTGATTAATAATCTATAAATTACTCTCAACAAATGAAGAAATAATAAACAATTTCGTCGCCTTTGTTAAAAAACGGTACTTTAGTATTAGTCGGACTACCTTTTTCTTGACTAAGTTTACCTAATTTTCGCTAAAGAATTTTTACTAATTTGTGGAGTTGGGAGGGGAAATGGAATTTCTCGTGGTGTTGGTGTGCATTAGAGGTTAGGTTCATTTTGCTAACATTTTATTTTGCTGTCCAAAGCGTAACTTACTCAAAAACCAGGTAGTCCAGCTAATACTAAACTACCCAAAAAACTTTCTCCCATAATCGAACCATTCAAACGCTCGAAAATATGAATTTCCGTTTGAAAACTTCAATTCCTGTAAACCTTCTCGTTCTAGCATAAGAGAGGGGCAAGGGAATTAATAATCGTTTCCATCCCTCTCTATAAGCGCCTTTCAGGCAAACGAGGGTGGAATTACTGCGACGCGCACAATGGTGGGGAAGGGGGGTCAGCGATAAATTTGAATCTACGTGTTTTGCAATTATTCGAGTACAGACGGGAAGGGAGAGCACGCCTTTGAGACGAGAGTGAGTGGCTCCCGTTCCCGGTAATAACACGACGCACTGAGGGATTATTTAATCAGAGGTCCGATAACGACAGCCGATAACATAGCTGCACACTTGTGTACATACTCTGTTAATGACACTGTTATCCTTGTCATTACGTTTCTTCCATTATTTTCTCGCGTCTTAGCCTTCCGCGATGGACACTCGCTAACAGCGGCTTAAGACTTATTGAGTCCTGCTTTTTTCAACCTTTCTTCTTTCCTTCGTCGTTTGTTATCTTAGAAGTTCGCTGGACAAAGTGACTAACGTTATTTATCGAATTCTTGCAAATTTTAGTATTCACTTAATGGTTGAAAGTAAACTTTAGTTTAATATATTGTAGTTAAAAAGTCATTCAAGATCAAAAGTAAACTTCAGTTTAATATATTGCAGTCAAAGAATCATTCGAGAGTCTTACCGTTGGTATTGAAAGTTAAAGAAATTCTGTGAGTGGGTTTAATCACTTTGTTCTATGAACTTCTTGAATAACAACGGAATATAAATCTATTAATTAAAAATATATTATATTATGGTTTAATCTAACTTCTCTGTTCTTTCACTTGTGAAGTTATCACTTTCAAGTGAATGGCACGTTTCTCGAATATGGAAGAATTTTACTTTCACTTCCTCTAACAAATTTCAAGTATTATTAATTTTGTAATTTTTCTCATTCGATGTGTATTCAAAGATGTAGCACTGCATTTTTATTCAGACTTTTCGGGTATTGTTCGCTGGCCCAATATATTTTTACGAAATCGTTTTCCAAAGAATATAAAGAAAGGAGAAATATCGATCGCGAATAGCAATCTTCCACGTTAAATGGCGTCATTACGAGAGAAATTGCAGCTACTCTTTTGTCGAGTGCTGGATGTTCTTGAGGAACGCGCGCTTGTCATTTTTCAACACCCGGCAACCTGCACGGAGAAATAGAGGGCGAGTAATAGTTCAGCGCTGCTATTCAACGCGGCGCAAGGCGCAGTTTATTTTGTAATCCTCTTACAGCGCACGGTCATTAGCGGAACCGGAAATAAAGCAACGAAACGGTGTATTCCGCAGCGCGGACCGGCCCCGTTGGGTTTGATCGTGAAACCCGCTCGCGAAAATTAACGATCGACCGACCACGCAATTAATATCGGAACCGAGATTCCGATCGTTGGTATCGTTTTCCTTCATATTTCGCCGTTTTTTGTTGGAAGAGATCTTCGGGTAACTTGTTTGACGATTGATTGACCGGGTTAGGTCTGAAATAGTATAACTATTTTGCACTCCAAAAGTGTTCTACCGAAAATATCCAACACACTTTCTGATGAAGTATAGTCAACATTGCTTGAAACTAACTTAACGAGAAATCGTTCATGAATTAAAGAAAGAGGCTGTTTTATTTTAATATTTCACATATTAATGCAGCATATGAAACTTAACATTAAATAGATTAATTTGGCTGTACCAAGTGGTGTGGTGACTGAGAGGGGCCTATAAAGTGCAAAGGGTTAACAATGAATCTGATAGTTTAAAGAATTGGATTTGTAAAATTCTAATTTTTGTTTAAAGTTTAAAATATATAGGGTATGACGTGAAAGAGATTTTTTCAAAATTGATACCCTTGATAACTTTTCTTGTCATTGAAAAATGACTCTGGAAACTATTGTGTGAAATGTGTCAGGTATATAATTATTTAATGGTTTTTACGATTGATTTTGGTTTGCGCGAAAGTAGTTCTGTGTATTTCGAATTATTATCATTATTGTTAAAATTTTATAATGATTATCAAAGTAATTTAGGGATATATGTTTTTATTATGTTATATTAAATTATTTATTAAATGGTATTATGTGATTTAACATATTTTATTAAATCTCTGAAGAATCTGTTTGTTAACAGAGGTATTAATAAAATCGATTAATAATCCATTTATTAATGAACATATTAATCAAACCTATTAAGTTGATTCTTCCTAAAAATAAATATGTACAAAAGAGCTACTGCCATTTCTACTAGAATGGCATTAAACCCTTGTCACGTATCCTTTCACACAGGGCCAACCAAAAAAGGAGTGGCACGATGGAAATACCGCTCGCCCCTGATTACGAGTTACGTTCGCTGGGGAATTTTTCCTCGTACGTTTTGCATTTCAACCGTTGTCCCATGCGTCCCTCCTCTTTCATTCGCAACACCCCACCCCTCGTAACGTAGACGTATTATTATCACCGCGGTGTCAACGTACTTCCACGGTTCACCTGGAGTTACTGCACCATGCAAATCGACGCCATTGAGTTTCGGCGAGTTTGCGAGCTGCCGCGCCGAACTTGTGGATAGGACGTAATTTCGCGTGTCGATTAGTTTGATTAGAATAGCGAACGTTTGTAGAACACAAATTTTCGTCGAGCGGTTTTTGGAAACATGGTTTGAAAACATGGCTGCGGAATGGAGATTTATTTGACTGTAGGGTAGTTTTATTGTTGTCATACTTAGGTCGGAGTTATTTTACAATTTTTTACAGAAAAATGTTGTTAGTTTAGTTTGACTTATGATTCCTGTGATCTTAAGGTGAAAAATTTATATTAGAATATAAATTTTTAGGTAAGAATATTCTAGTAACCTGGTAATATACGTGAATATTTTATTATCTGTAGTAGTTAATTGGCTATATCTTCGTTTGGTAAGTTATAAATCCATTTAAAAATTTGGTTGTTTTAGAATTATTCAATTCTGTACTAAAAACGGAACAACATTTCCACAAGTAGTTGAGAATATTTGAAATATTCTGAAATCTATGATTTTTTGATAATTAAACAGCAAATTTAGTAAAAAACCATCGAATCAATTTGCACACTTAATGTATACCTACTTATATAATAAACTACATAGATATTCTACTTCTCTTACCACACATCATCATCAAACTACTTATCAAACAAGAAACATATTTTCTGTTGTCTGACTCGTAGCCGTCTTATTCCACTTATTCCACTGTCTACAACTTCAGTTCAACGTAATATATCCTTATTTTAGCGATAACAATGGTAAGTTTACATTTCCTCGTGGCGTTACGTTTACCTTAGTAAAACGCAAAGAGAAATTTACATTCCAATAATTTCCCAGGTGGCTCGAACGAAAATTAATTACGAGAAGAAAGACGCAGTAGAATTGTACTAGAACAAAAACCATTTTTGCGACCATTGTTCCATTATGATGTGAGGGAGCACAACGGTAAATTCCCCGCCACGTTTCCAGGCTCACCTTTCAGAAAAGTGTGTCAATAGTTACACAAACCGCGAGATTCGAATCTCCGCCCCCGCGTCCCGACACTTGAAAACGATTTCAATTCCAACAAGGAGGATGAAAATTTCACGTTCGACCGCCGATGAAATATTCCGACCTTCTCAAATATCCTCTATCGGTAGACCAGGGTTTTCCTTGGAAATATTCGTGGTCAACCCGCGACGAAATGGAATAATAACGCGTTAGGTACTTTAGGGGAACGTACTATGTGCTCTGTCTTTTTTCACATAAACGGTGTGCATTTTGGTGAAACGTCAAATGGAACGTAGTTCGAGAAAATTGGTTTACAATGTGAATGGTCGCATTTGTATTCAATGATGGAAAATAAATGATTGTGTATGAGTAAACATTTCTTTATATCGATTAAATATGAACTTCAATGAAAGTGTCTTAAGACTATTTGCAATATGACACGCGGAATTTGAAGTCTCAGTCATGTTGACGGTTGTTTAATTGTTTCAGTGTTGGTGGTATTTTCATCTCAGCATTGAAAAATAAAAAGAACATCGACAAACCTCATAATCCATAAACAACGAATAACAATACATTTCCCATTAAAAAAACGAAACAAAACGTTACATCTTGATTTCAAAAGATTTGAAAGAAAATAGAAAAAAGGAAAGATGCACTATTTACAGGATCTATCCGTAGATCGCAAAGAAAATCACATTCCAAAGTAAACAAAACACACACTTCCCTCGTCTCAGTTTCGAAAAACAAAAGAAACATCATCGACAAACCCCATGATCCACAAACAACGGACGACAATACATTTCGCATTAAAAACGAAACAAAACAAAACAAAACGTTCCATCTTAATTTCGAAAGATTTGAAAAAAAAGTAGGAAAAAGGAAAGTCGCACTATTTATGGGATAGCCCGGTATGTTCGTCATTGTCCCCGAAAGAAAAGAAAGAAAAGCTGGCCGCGGCCTGGCCAACCGTGTTGCGCTCGCTTTCCGTACCGAAAGTTCGTCGTCCTTTCCGCGCTTCTAAGCGTGGCCCTCATTCAGCCGCCGAGGCAGACGCCCTCCTCCCCCTCGCCGCGGCTCCATCAACCTTTTTGAAGCGGAGAGGCGAGCTCTCTTCGAGTGTCGGGGCCGCGTGCACGCGTCTTTGCCCCTCATTCAGCCGGCTTACCCCACGCTCGAGTCCCCCGGCACAAAGTATTTTCCATTCTGTCCCGAGTCACCCCCCACACCCAACCCCGTTTTCACCTACGGACGCACCCCGTACGCGATTCTTCGACTCTTTCGCTTGGTTTTTTGCTTTGGCCAACGGCAACTAGCGAGCACCGTGGCTAGGGACATAGGAATCGTTCAACCCTTCCCGAAAAAATGTGACGAGTTTCCGTGAATTTGGACAGTATGGGTAGTTCGGGTATTTTTGTAATGGATAATGGAATTGAAGATTTGGGTATAGTATATCGTAGTAATACAATGGTAATGGTATGGTAAGTATTATTGTAGTATAGTAATTCGATTTAGCATATAAGGATAACATAATAGTAACAATCATTATTGTAATGTGACGATAATTGTAATTAGAATGGTAGTGGACTTATGATATGATAATGCTCATTACTATTAGAGTATAATTATATAATAATAACCGTTGTTGTGGTATGCTAATAATTATCGTTACCATAATGGAAATTATAAGTCGTGATGGATCGTAGTATGATAATAATATAATAGTGAATTTTACAATATTTATAAAGAAGTTTATTACATTTGTGAGATATTTTTATATATAGCAGTGGTAACGATGGTATCTATGATAAGCGTAACAATAAATCAAATACCGATTGCAGTAAAAAGTAAACACAACATAATTCAAGGGATGAAGGGTTGAAATACAACCAAAGCGAATCAGAAAGTTTCTGATCGATGGATGGGTGTGTAAAGTCTACGGTTGCGGTACTTTAGGGGTGGATGTCACTTAGCGACACGTTGAGCAGTTAATGGAAGGGTAGAGGCTTCGGGTTGCTTTGGGTAAATGTTCGAGAGGAATTAACTTTTTTCCGAGAGGAGGGTAACTTGGACGTATCCTATCTGTTACGGTCTTGTCTGAGCAGCAATAGGGTTATATCACTTGTTGCGTGTGCCTCCGTTGGGAGATTAGCGAAATTTAATGGAGAACCACCTTTACTTGCGGAATGTGTCCAATCAAGGATGTGGATGTGACGGCTGAAGGAATTATTGCACTAATTATGTATTATAAAATTATATATTAAATAGGAAAGATGGTTTTGTTTGTACATTGAAAAAGTAGAGTATGATTGATCATTTTTAAAGAAAATATTTGGAAAATAATACATGTATTCTGGTATTTTGACATGAATTTTTAATAATATTTAATAATTTTTCTTGGCTGATTTATGTCATATTCATTCTCCATGTTTAGATAATATCATACTTATTCTCCTTGTTTTTGTAATATTACATTTATTAACCCCTTGTCCTACCACGAGTGAGACTCGTGCTGAAGATTTTCAACCTGATTCAACAAATATATATTACTCAGTTTATTCGAATTCAAAGTAAATATTATTCCTCTATAATCAACTATTACACTTAAAGGAAAGTACAGGAATAATATATGCTTAAAATTTTTCTCTGTTTCCAATAAATTATTAATGAAAAATTAGTCGTATCGATCAGAGTTGAGAAAGAAATCATAAGCCAAGGGGTTAACTAATGTCATATGTACTTCCCTTGTATTTATTCAAAATAAAGAAATTGAAATATTTCTGAATAATAAATAAAAGAAACATTTTGGTATTTTTGTATTTTATATTTCATGCTACACTTCCTCTTCCTCTAAAGGCTCTATTAGGAATGATGCTTAAAATGTACGCTACATACTATGACAAGTATACTAACCAACTCCTAGAAGCGCTGCTTGGCAGAGATACTGTCTGGACACCAGACACTGAGCAGATGGCCTGGCAGTAACGACTCCCCAAGTCGCGCAACCGAGAGCTGCTGCCAAGCCCAAACAAGTCTGCAGTAACACCACAGCGCTCGCCTCCAAACCATCCTGGTGCCCATGTCCAGCCTGCAACCGATGTTTCTCATTATGAGATTGCAGTGTTGAAGAGTAGGGGAATGGCATACATTTAATTTGAGGAATAATGACTTGTAATTATGAATTTAGAAATAAAGTTATTCATAGCAATGACAATTAGAATCCTGGACCTTTACACCATCTTGATTGAAACAGCAATATTTTTTGAAGAAAGATTATCTTAAATTTGAAATGTGTAGAGATTTACTTTCTTTATTTTTAATAAAATTACTTGCAGATCTAATTATTTGTCTTTGATTGCATCGAGTTTTTATGATTGTCTTAATTTTCTGTTGCATGAATTAGCTATTGTAGCAATTTACCAATGTATCAATTAACTATTGTACCACTCTACCATTCCAGCAATTAATTATTGCACCAATTTACCATTCCATCAATTAAATATTGTACCAGTTCAATATATCAATTTTACGTCAAAAGACAAGTTTAATTTAAAACATTGGAAATAAATAATGAATAACATCTTTATCTAAACTACAGTGTTGATTGTACTAATCAGTTGACACTGATTATTGGGTGAAGTTGGTTTCGCTAACTTTCGATCGATAGCCGATGAAATTGCCCGGTTTCAGGAGTGAATTTGAGACACGCGACTGGTCAACCGCGATTATGAGAGTGTAAACCGACTAACTTTACCGGAACTTTCGCCGGAAGTCAAGTTAGGCATTGTGGCCGCTCGGCTAATCATTGCGTGTAGTTATGCCTGTGGCAGTTTCGCGATTGTGTCCTGGGATTCTGTTTCAGTAACGGTCAACGATCGAGAAACTAGACCACACTTATTGCGGAATGATACTATACCTTTGATTACAGTCGTTAAAGTCTAATGGTAACTACCAGATTTTCCTAATGATCTAATACAAGTTGTCTATTTCCAACAAGACTAATTGTGAGTGAAATTATCTGTGTATATAATTAACTTATTTTCAATACTAATTTTCAAAATTGAATGATATCTTCATATAAGTTTCTATTTAAAACTAATATCGCATTTTTATTCTTTTATAATTGATAATTGTTTTAATTGGTTTTGTAATAAAAAAATAATTTTATAATAATTTTGTAATAATTTCCTACTTTAATCTTATAATAATGTTTCTACTTTAATCATAAAATGAATTTTATAAGATTTTATGATAATAAAAATAGAATGTTTAATTACATTTGCCTATAAAGTAAAATATTTTGTTTTTATTCATCTAGTAGTTCATGATACTTTTCTTCTTCTGTAAGATTCCATTGGTTTCATTAATCACTGTCTTGCAACTCTCGTCTGGCCAGTCACGAACCAATTCTCCTTGACAGTCTAATGACCAGCACGTGTAACTTGTCTGATTACTGCGTGGTCCATTATACTTGCCTGATAAATGTTTGGCTCGACTCTCTAGCCTGATCAATGCATGATTCATTCCATTTGCCTAACTAATCACTGACTTACTTCCTTTCGCAGAGCTGACACCGATCTATTCCACTTAGATCAACAGCAATTAATGGAATCCAAGTAAAATTTAAGGAAGATGTATCCCAACTATTTAAAATTTGACTTTTCTTAAACAATAAACGTTATACAAGCTTCAAAATAGAAATATGAAAAATTTTAAATATTCAGAAAATCGAACATTTCAATCTAGCATTATAAACGTGCACTTACTCGCATACAGGAATTTTTTAACTTTAAAATTCGAATATATTTGAATACATCTAAATGCATTTGAATATTAAATCTATTCAAATATATACAACTTCAATATCAAACGTATTCAAATTTAATTTTCATATTTGAATTAGGCAGTCGACGAATATTTTCATTGGTCTTCAAATAAAGAGCTGCATTCAAATTTTATCGCAACAGAAAGATGTACATTGTTTCTAAAGTTTGATCCATAGTCCTAAATAAAATAGAGAAACTTTTACACGACATTATAACCAAAACACCTCGCCGAACAGTCAGAGAGAGTTGATGTTTCAGTGGTCGGAGATAAATTTTTCAAAACTATAGATATTGTAAACATAAAAAGTATAGTAAATATAGTAAACATACTAAACATAGTAAATTACAGTAAATATTATAAACATAGAAGATATTAAATGTAGTAAATATAGAAAATATAGTAATACAACAAATAAAAAACTGTATACAGTAAATAGTAAAAACGTAATTAATTTAATTAAATCAACAACCTTTCGCCGCTGCGAATAACTCTAAATAACATAATCACAATCCTTCCTAGCCCAATTATTAAGGACCACTTTAATTTCACGGAACAAGGAAAAAATATCAGTTAATCTTGATTCGTCCAAAAGTTATAGACTTTTGGCCAGTGGAACTGGCCAAAAGGTTTTTCTCATCCTGAGAGGTTTCCACAGGTTACTCACGAGATTTCCGAGTTACTCACGATGTAAAAGGCAGGAGTGTAGAGACCAAATCCAGCGGCTCCCGCGGCCAACATTAACATCCTGACGGGGCGGCTTCTCAGTGGGCTGAGATCAACCCACGGCTGCCTGGGTGGCACCTTCCTCCTTTCCTTCAATTTGCTCCGTTGACTCTTCATGTGCAGCATGACGCGTCGCTGGGGATGATAGACGGAAGCGCTCTTGTAGATCAAGCCGAGGAAGAAGGCCAGCGACAGCGCACCGGTCACGGACTGCATACCCCGTTTCCAGCCCAGCTTTCTGAGGAAACAGCACGACGTTAGTAAAAGGAAATGTTATCACTGAATTGGGTTCTCTTACTGTAATTAACACACTATAGTAAAGCGGTCAATGTCTTCGACTTGAACTTGAACTTGAACTTTAATTTAAACTTTAACTTTAATTTAAATTTTTACTTAGAATTCAACTTGAACTTTATCTGAAATTTTAACTCATACTTTGACTTAAACTTTAATTTAACTTAAAGATTATAGAATTAATCATAGGAGAACTCGAAAAGACAATCGAAGAAGAATGATTAAACATAGAAAATAATTTCAAATCAAAGTCGATTTTTATAACCATTATATTTAAACATCGTCAAAACCGATGACGAGAATGGTTACCCTACAAGTTCACCGAGGAGACTAAGTATAAACGAAAGTCAACTCTTGGATTATTCAATTCTCGAATAAAGCCACTCCGCTCGCGAGAATTTAACTGCTGACTTCCGAACTTAATTAAATTAAAGCAGACGCTGCGATGTTGCTCCTTCGTTACCGCGCGATAACACTTTCGCTGAACTCTATGAAACTTTTCTAATTGTAGGGAAACAATTATGAGCCTCGATTCCTCGAATTTCTCGTTTCAGGATCATTTTAGCGACAACAACGATTACATCGGTATCGATCAACCGCTCGTTTGCCTTTCAACAGAATTAATTTCACTACAGTAACACCGGACAGTAATTGACGTTCCGAATGGCCACTCATTTCTCGTTAGTTTCGCGACTTACCAGGGAAGCCTACCGATTCGCTTAATCAACGACCGAATTAAACGAGTCACGCAATTAGGACGGGCTGGAATCGATTGGAATTACAGCGGCATTAACGATCGCATCGCTGGTAGTAACTGGCGAAGTTAACGGAAAAGAAACACTCGAGTTTAATGAGACTTAAGTGCTGGAACCGCGGGCGCAATTTTCATTGAAAATATTTTCGGCTATCCCCATGAAGTTATCACGTTTATGAAACAATTTCCAAATGGGAATCGTGAATTCTTAATTTGTCAAGGGAAATCTCGTGAAACACGAAAAAGCGCTTCAAATTTAATAATAAAATACTAAATAAAGAAAATTCTACTTTCTTTAATACTACATTCAACAGATCCGTCAATTTAAAGAATAATAATAAATTTCTGTAAATATTCTTTTGTAAAAGTTTAAGGTTTAATTCTAATTCTCTATTCTAATTCTCTGTTTTCCAAAACCTAATTTCCAAGATCTACACGAGTGAACACCTATTTCTCTATGAACAATAGAATAAAGCGAAACTCTATTGTCGAAAATCGCATAAACTACTCAACACTTTCTCAACACTACTTTAACCTGGTTTAATTAATCCTAGTTCTACTTAATCTAGTCAATTCGGAGTTTCCTATAACGATCACGAAACTAATTATACAATTTAAATAAAATTATCATTCTCATAAGTAGTCACCAATATTGTTAACATATTGAAAGGCGACATCATTACGATGTAACGATACAGTGCCTTCAACCTAACATAATGTAACATCAGATAACCTGCCCCCTCTCTCCTGAAAAATGTCGAATTTACTACTAATAGTCTCTTAAATAAATGTTCCGCCATCGTTTCGGAAGAATTGTAGGCAGCTGGTTCTTGGGGATGAAATTAGAATCTGCGAACGGCCGATCCGTCGAGCGTGAGTCGGCCGTTTGGCACCGTCAAGGGGGAGCGAAGGGGTCAAAGCGACCGCAAAGTTCATAACGCGAGCGCGACACGGAACACCGTCGACGTTACCCACCGGCAAAGAGGGACACGGAATAGCCGGAAGCCTTTCTCGCTCTTGTTTCAACCGGCTTTAAAGTTTGCGCCTGCGGAATCGTTTGCAGTCCTGCGAAATGACGGAAAATCCTTTTCGCTAAGAGCTCGAGAGTGTCTATTACGAACGACAGTCGGCCGTGTCTGACATTTGTTTCGCTGAAAGCAGAGTCACTATGGTGGACTATAGAAAACTCTTGCGGAGGAATATGCGATTAGAGATGCCCGTTGCTTTACTTGATTGTGGATGAGAAATTGTTACAGTTGGATCATTATAGTCTTATCTATGTGTAGTCCGGACATTTTGAGAATGTAATTGGAGAAATAAAATTGAGGTATAAAATGGTTTCTTCTAGGAAATAGTAGTTTCACGTGTTCATCATGTGCATTCGGTGCAATTTTGCAACTTCCATCGTGTGTAAGATTATTTAATTAGGTAGTTGGAATGGTTATAATTGTGTTTTATGGGAAATATGATTTATTGTGGATATGGAAAATTGTATTTTGTTTGCGTGGAATAACAAGGTAGATAATTGGAATTGTAGAGTTCTAAAGGTAATTGGAATATAGAATTCGTTTGACGTATGGTGCACTCGTTAACCAAAGTGATTAACTCTATTTTTGAGTATTTGAAATTTTAGTATCAAAGCGTTTAATAGATTGAAACGATTCTTGAACCTAAGAACTTTAGCAAATTATCATGTCTGGAGAGCGGTTTTCGTGAATTAATGTAATTGTTTCTCTACTTCTCGTAATAACATGATATTTACATATAATTGAATTATATGCACACTATTTGCCTAACAAGTATCACGTTTTCTCTGTAAATAAGAACATGTTTATTTCACTTTGTCTGTTCAAGACTGTATTTACAACTGTTGCCTGATAAATATCATGTTCATCCTCCTTGTTTGACTAACATCATGTTCACTCGGCGTGGCTGACTAATATCATATTTACATCCCTTGCCGCAGCAATATAGTGCTTGTGCTCCTTGCCTCACATATATCAGATGTACTGCACCTTGTTTCGTTAATATTATATTTATACGCCTAGCCTGACAAATATCGTGTTTATTCTCTTTCCTCGAATAATATTCTATTTACTCTGCACGTCAGACTAATATCACACTTGCTTTCATCATCTGATATTATATTTACTCGACTACTATCATCGTTGTCCATACACCAAAAGTATCGTATTTACACCCTTTTGTGCGACTAATATCATATTTACTCCCCTTTAGTGTGAATATCATGTTTATTCTCCTTGTGTGGGTAACATTATTGAGCCATCTCATAAATATGGTTCTTGTATATTTCATTTAACTATAAAAGTTAAGATAAATAAAACGTTCTATTATTTAAAATATATTCTCTCATTATCTCTGTTATTATCTATAGATAACGAAGGGGAATATATTTTAGATTAAAAAAGAAACTTTCGTTTATCTTAATTTTTTATTTATATTAAAATACAAATTCCGCTTCTAATATTATATTAATAATTATTTCTATCGTTATATCAAAATTATTTCTATTATTATATTAATAATTTTATCCGTCGACAACCAAGGAGAATACATCTTAGATTAAAATAAGTTTTGTTCATATTAATTTTTAATAATAAAGGAAGTATAAAAAAAACCGTTTGGATAGAGGATGAACTAGTACATTTAACTTTTTCCTCTTACCAACATCAAATTAGCTCTCACTTCCCAAAAATCGTCGATTTCACTTCTGTCTGACCATAACCACCTACAATCCGCTTACTTCTTTAACACCGCCCTCTAACTTCGCTCTAATCTTTCTTTTCTATTTAAACTCAAGCTACTTTTCTTCTTTCCCCCATCAAAACCCAGTGACATAGCCAATCGCTGAAATAGCAGAAGAAGAAAATGAGAAACATCGCCAGATTCTATTTTCCTCTTCCATTTCCTCGGAGGAGGCCGAGCCAGATCGATGTCACGCGATTTTTCGAGCGGGTAAGCACCCATCACGAATGCTAGTAACTGTCTCCATTTGTCCCTTATTGTCGACTGCAGAACGTGTACGATATCCCCTGCTCACCCCTGGCTTATATACAGGCTGCCCCATTTTAATCTATAAACGCAATTAGCTCTGAAATCTTTCATTTTCTCAAAAATCTCTCAAATACAATTTTTTCTATTTCGAAAGCCATTTTAGAGAAGCCATTTTAGAAAAACCATTTGGTACACTTAGTTCGACTCTTGACAAGCGTGTACGGGAGTATCGTAGATGTACGTATTTTCGTATCGATTTACTTTGTAAAATCATTTTTTTAATCATTTTTTCTAAAGCAGCCTATAGAAATTTCCCTATACAAATCTGTCCACGTATCAACAAATACAAAATCCAAGCATAATATTCCCTGAAACAAAGCTCCAACCAACAAAAGCTTACTCCGTTCATTCGATTAATTTTTTAAAATCATTTTCTTTTAAACACCCTATATAAATTTGTTCACTTATCAACACGTATAATCTCCAAACACGATATTCTCTAAAACAAAACTTCAACCAACAAAACCTTACTCCGTCCATTCGGTTTACTTTCTCGCGCAGAATCACCCTCTCCCCGATTGCACCCTTTAAAACACCCCGTATAAATTCCTTACGGGGCGAACGGTGTCGTCTTACGCGGACGGCGCGTTACGGCACAATAAATAACAGGTGACGAGGTATTACGCTCGTCGGGTAACACGAGACACTATATCACACGCCGGTAACACGTGTCGCGTTAATACCGTACTTATACTACTGGGCCGACGTCGTTCCGTTTCGAAGCGCGCATCACCTAGCCGGCTGGCCGACCAGTTTAATGGTTTTCATTGTTTCTGTCGCGGCCGCGCGATTAAATTCCCCCCGCCCGTCTTCTTGTTACATTCCTGACAACCGGGCCTTACGCGGGCTTTTTTACGAGGCTTTCAGCATTATTGGGAGCCGCGCTCCGCGCTTTACGGCCATATTTTACGAGTATATCCATGAATTTCTGGCCACTTCACTTTTGCTTGTTAAGCGTTTCCTCTTCTAACGCCTGCATCCACTGATACGGTCGAGTGCGTGTACGTGTGTGTGTGTGTGTGTGTGTGTGTGTGAAACCGCATCGTAAATTTGAATTTTTGGAATTTTACTGATCACTCTTCTGTTTAGTGGTATGTTAATGGATTATTATTGGA